ATTCCCGAAGGAATTTTGCCTGCAAAGGCCCCCTGCTGCTCGGCCGCGGCTTGGCGTGTTCGAATGACACTTAGGCAGGCGTGCTTATTTGGACGCGCGTGTATGCGCGGGTGTGAAGCATGTGTGTGAGTGATTGAATATCGGTCAAGTGGTCTTCAGGTCAGCAAGCCGAACAGCTGCGTGCAAAGACAAATGACTTTGGGGGCCGCGGGCATTGTAGAACGAAGGGGGGGACAGGCATTGTGGCCGTCCGCTACAGGTCTAGATGTTTAGGGTTAGGTTTGGACCAAAGGCACAATTTTGGTATTAGGCGTCGGACTAACAATGTTATTAAGTTCACCTACTTCTTCAGTCGCAATCATCGCGAGAGTTTGATTCGACGATATATTTTTATTACTTTATACTTCAGTGTGACTGGAAATCAGGGACTGCGCTAAGTTCGTCTGGAATATCTAACCAGTGCCCTTGGTTTTCATTTGTTCGCTCGTTTTCATTTCCCAAGTTTCTATGTCAGGTTTGTTTATCCTGCCCTATGAAATCCCTATAAAACTACCAGCATGCCTTTATTATGGGATTCCTTGCGTCCCGTTTTCTGTGTGAGCCCACGTACCCAATCGTCGACGAATTCCAAGGCTATATGAGGTGCCTGACCGCAAATACTAAGTCCATATGCATGCAGTAGGCGTCAGTAAATTTCTAGAAAGCATGGTGTTATGCCTATAGAGGAACAAGAAAAATCAGAGCCACTTATTTTTCCCTGACAGTTGGAAATGGACGCCATCACTGGGCACCTGGTAGTGGAGATTCTGATGCCTGGAGTCAACTTCATACGCAACACCATACCCAATCTGGACTCAGCTGCTCCGAATGGCACCTTTGCAGACGGCCTCTGGCATTCTGTCTACTTCAAGATGCAGGCTGATCTCGTGGAGGTGGCCGCCGACAACCGGATGTACAGGACCATCCAGAAGTTCCTGCAACAGGTCATTCCTCTTCTCGAGTCTTTCTTTTTTGCCGTTTCCTTTTAGTTTTATCCACGTCTGTCTTCTCGTTGGTTGTTGAAAGTTAACTGAGCAGGCTGATTCAGATTACGGTGAAAACCTATCAAAAATGATTCAGACTAAAACGTGCAGGACAACAGTCATTCATGCGGGGAGGGAATGAGAGGATGTAAGGTTACGTGCGTTATCAATCCTTACCATTGAGGTTGATCACGTGATCCCGCTGCCTACAGAGTTCTACTTTTCTGCTCCGTGTTGCAGCGGCCTCTGCAAAGCGCACGAGACGTCCAGTATTTGTCCGAACTGCGACCTTAAGTGCAGTCATTGGGTCCACCGTATGGCCAGCGTTCAGCCGGTGCTTCGTAATTTACCTCCAAGGCAGCTTACCTTTGGCATATGTTCAGCTGACCGAGTTGCCAACTGGCTTTGCAAGCGCCCAGTGTGTTTGCATTCGCAACTACATGTAAACTCATAAAAACACTTTGATGTGTCGTTTACAGGCTGACTGTCTTTTAGGTTTCAGCCGGTTGCTGTACCGACAACAAAAGGATTCCCAAATGAAGAGTCAAGCAAGACAGAGCTGAGAGGAACAGCTTTACTGAGTTAAAGTAGCCCTACAGTAGCTGCTGCAAGCGCCGTGTACAAAAGCCAGTCGGGTCGGTGAAAATATGAGGATGTGTGAAGACTTGGCTGCGGGATGAATGGTCTGTCAGCTGCCGCCAATCAAATGAGGCGGAAGTATCGATTAGCTTCGAGCGTACGTGCGGCGAGTCGACAGCGAGCGTTCGAAAGGACAAGAGCGCACAGCGTG